GAATTTTGGTAAGGTACTTCAACTATATTTTTAGTCCTGGTGTAGTGCTGTAATGTAAGCACTGGACTTCTAACCACACGTCAGCTGTTCAAACCCACTGACTGGTCCTCGAAAACCCTATACAGGGTGACTTTGAGTCAGAACTGACTTGATGTTACTAAACAACAAAAGACTTCAAACATTTCATGTTCTTATTATTAATGGATGTCTACAGCTGTTTCTTCCCATTTTGAGTTGTGCTTCATCAGCAAAGGAAGGTCCTCAAAAGCTTTGCTTCATTCACAACATTAAAGTCAATTCTACTATGAAAAGGCAGCTCCTCCTCAGTGGTATTTTGCATGCCCCCCAAAGTGAGGGACTCATCTTCTGGTACTGTATTTTGACAATGGCCTGCTGCTATTCATAGTTTCCAGTGGCTAACCATCCAGAAGTGGTCTGCCTCGACTTATTCCTAGTCTGTCTTAATCTGGAATCCCCATGAAACCTGTCCACCATGAGAGCCCAGCTGCTATTTCAAATATTAGTGGCATCACTTCCAGCATCACAGAAACACACAAATGCCCACAGTAAACAAAGTGACAGATGTTTGATGGATGCATTTGCAGATATTTATGTACATGTGTGTATGGGGGTGCTTTCAAAAGCTTGTGGATAACTGAAATGAAAGGATATTGTCATTTTTTCAGAAACTTTTAAAAACCCTCTCATGTGTGTGTATGTGTGAGTGTTTATATAAAATAATTTAATGGATAAACATGCTAGTGTTCCAAAAAAATTTTTTTGTACCACTAATTATCCTGTAGTTTTTAAAATATATATTAGAAATGGTTCAAACTATATATATTTGTTGTTGTTGTTGAGTGCCGTTGAGTTGGTTTTGACTCATAGCAACCTTGTACAGGGTCTCCAAGGAGCAACTAGTGAGCGTGAGCTGCTAACCTTGCAATTCAAATGACTTTTCGGTCCAGCACATTAACTCACAGTGGCACACCAGTACTCCAGATACTTAATAATATTTATGACTATTTATTGCATTGGACATTTGTGTATTAGAATTTTGGATTCTTTAT